ACTTTCACATTTAGATCTTTTAAAGCAAAACACACTTTTGAAGTGAAAACATCATAAAAAGCTTTCAGCATATTTTCATCTTTAAAATACACATATAGGTTTTCTACATATTTCTGTTTTTCTTTTAAATACAGTCCACACATCTAACACAATTTTTTTCTTTCTTAGCCACAATTCTTCTCTCCCATATTGCACTTTTCATTAACATTATACACAGATTTATAAACCTTTTTTGACACTTCTTTTCCCATCCAAACATCACCACTCTGTTCCACTCCATTACATTTTCATCCCACTCCCCAGTCAAATCTTTAATTAAACATTTACATTTCCTTAAAATCCTCAAATTTTTTACAATATAAAAACATATGTAAAACCCCCTCTTCCTTTTCCTGGCACACTTTGCACATCGCATTTTGTTCCATTCCTATTTTATTTAAAATAGCCTCAGTAAAAACCACTTTGTGTCTTCTAAAATATTCCAAACATTCTAACATTGTTTCCACACACCTCCCCCTCATGTTCCTCCATATACACTCTTCTTTAAGATCTTTACATTTCTGCACCCCGTACTTATTAACAATTGGTTCTTTTAAAAACACCATCTCTAAAAAAACAATAAAACATCTTCACAGTACAGGTCTTAAAATCATGCAGTTTGTCTTCCAGTCTCACATAAATGTTTTTCTCTTTTGTCTCTTCTTCCATGTTTTGAACCATCCCTTCCGCTATGTCTTTGTGTTTAAAGACAAAATTTAAAATTTTTAACAAAATTGTGTTAAAATCCCCCATCATTAAAGAAAGGGGAAGTCGTGGCCTAATGGTTAGAGAGTTGGACTCGTAACCCAAAGGTTGCGGGTTTGAGTTTCGTACCGGCAGGGATTGTAGGTGGGGGGAGTGAATGTACAGCGCTCTCTCCCACCTTCAATACCACGACTGAGGCCCTCTTGAGCAAGGCACCGAACCACCAACTGCTCCCCGGGCGCCGCAGCATGAATGGCTGCCCACTGCTCCGGGTGCGTGTTCACTGCTGTGTGTGTGCACTTAGGATGGGTTAAATGCAGAGCACTGATTCAGAGTATGGGTAACCATACTTGGCCACATGTCACTTTCATTATTATTTTCTTATACTTTTTTATAATGCCTCTTAACACATTAAACAACGTTTTTTTTCCCTTCTCCTCCACTGGCGCATGCACATTTAACTAAAATCAGTTCTCTTCCATCATATCTTGTTTCCACTACCATACATTTCAAAATATTATCTGTATATAGAATTTTACTCATTTTAAAAACATCATTCTTCTTTAAAAATGCCACCCCTCTCTCCAACCTTCCATCTCCATTATTATATAAAACACCTCCATCCCATCTCTATCAATCAATCATAACATCATTCCTCCAGTTTGTTTCTTGTAATGCAATGATGTCTTCACTTTTACATTTTTCTTTAACTTTTTCAAATTTTCTCAAGTCCATCAGTCCTCTTGCGTTAAAAGTAACACAACTTAAAACCATTAAACAAAAGAAAGAAAACTTTTAAAACCATCTCAGTCCTCTTCCTCCAAACCTCTCAGCACTTCATATCAGTTTAAACATTTTACTCGTCCTTTTTTCATAACTTTTTTTTCCTTGCATTTTCTACATTTGGTGTTACCTTTAATGTTCGTCTTGTTTGTTTCCTCGCTTTGTCCTTTTCTACCTTTTTTCCTCCTCTTCACTGTCCGTTTCTTTGTTTTGCTCCTTTTCTACTTGTCCCTCTTTCTCCACCCCGCCCAGAAAGTCTTTAAAACTAGAAGTTAATTCAATTGGTGTCCATGTTAATCTCTGTCCTTGTGTTTGTTCCTCATTATTCTGTTCACTTTCTGTGTCCTCCTCGTTTTGTTTCCTTTTCCATTTCTCGTTGTTGCAATTCCTCTGTTTCTTTCTCTTCTTCGTTATTTCCTACATGTTTGTTGTCTCTTTCATGCATTTGCCCATCCGCCTGGCTTTCTCCACCTCCTTCCTCTTCCTTTATCCAACACTCACATCTATTTAAAATCTCTCGGCATTCTGGGCACTTAACCGCAGTACAGTCCCATGCAAAGTGTCCCCTCTCCTCACATTTATAGCATTTAAAATCAGGGCAGTCTTTCATCAGATGCTCCGGCCTCATGCACAGCCGACAGGTCTTCACCTGGTGGCTGTGCATCACCCTGAAATACTGTGGCCCGTCCGCTGTTTCCAGCTTTGTGCTGTAAGGGACTGAGACAACTTCTCTTGGAAACCTCGCTTTGACAAACCTGGTGCCATCCTCAATGTTTGTGCCCGGATACACCCTTCGTTTAATTTTTGACAGGTAAAACTCCCCATCTATTCAGTTTTTCTAAAATGTCTTCATCTTCCAGGTAGACAGGCAAATGCATGAAAGAAACAACATAGTCTCTGTTTTGCAGTTTTTTTTAAAAAATTTTTTTTATCTCGCACGTTGCTCCATTTGTCAGTCCATCCATCAAAATGTCACATTTCTTCCTTTTCTATAGTCAGTTCGTACTCTTTGCCTTGTCTTGGCCGTACCGCTAAAATTTTCCCTCCTCCAATCTTCTCCACTACCGCCTTGATGATATCCACCGCTTTTGCATCGTTTGCTTCCTCCACATTGATAATCACTGTTGCTTCTTACCCTCCTCTCTTCCAAATCAGGTCCGTTCCCAGCTTGTTGTCCATGTTCCAGTCCAGTGTCGTTATGTTTCAGTGTCTCTCCAGCCATTTCCGCGTTGTTTGCCGTTGGTCCATCCATTTTGTACAAAAAAAATCTGATTAGAAAAAACGTCACAAAAAAACAACAGAAACGAGAAAAACCACCCTCCAGACAGCCTAAGGTTGCTGTTAGGTGGTTTAAACGGAAAAAAAAAAAACGCAAAACAAACAAAATAGGTGTGGGAGAGCCTTCCTCTCCCTTCTGTAGCCAAACTACTTCCTGTTGACTCACTAGTGCCCTCAGGGTGTTATGGCCGTAAGCGGGGACTTTCACAAAGAGTGGGCTATTTAAAGATCAGCCACCCTATAGGCCAGTGTTTTAGAAAAGTAGTGAAGAAAACGCAAAAACTTACAGTACCTGGTATTCCAAGGCAGCCTCCCATCCAAGTACTAACCAGGCCCGACCCTGCTTAGCTTCCGAGATCAGATGAGATGGGGCGCAGATTTATTTTTTTTGTTCTTAAAATGTTTAAAAAAAAAAAAAAAAAAATATATTTCAAACACAGCAAAAACCAACAGTACTTAATTTCATAGATTAAAACCAATTCGGCATAACATAAAATATAAAATGTTCAAATAACGACATTTTGCATTTGAACTTTTTTGACTGAATAATAATAGGCTAATGCTTTAGAGTAAAGAATTCTGTTAATTTACTCTGGAAATCCCCGTTTAAAAAAAAAAGAAAGAAAGAAAAAGAAAAAAAAGAAAATTTTGGTTTTATTAATTATTGCAAAAATAAAAGCAGCCTATTAGAATTAAAAAGCCTACTAAAAGTTAAACCATGTCTTTTCAACAAAAGGGTTATTCTGTACAAAATTATTATCAAAGACTTCTTTCACTTCCATTTTAAAATAATCATATAATACTTGAAGAATAAAAACCATCCTTTGTTTAAAAAGTTTACACACAGAAACGTTCTCCTTTTTCTCCTTTTCCACATTCCTTCTTTAACCAAATTATTAATCCTTCCAACTGTTAACATCAGATTTAAAAAACAAACATTTTTGGCTTCACCTTTAAAACCAAACAAAAATATTGTTTCCCAATTCACATCAACAGTTGTTTCTTCAACCCCCAAATTTTTCACCATTTCTTTCAATTTTTTAATAAAACATTTCAACCTCACACATTTAAAAAATAAATGTAATATTCCTTCTCTATTACATACTTTGTAATACATCTTGTTCTATACCAATCTTACACAGTCTCATTTCACTCAGCAAACAATTGTCTTAACAAGTAATCAATTCTCTAAAATAGGACTTTTCC